CACTGTGTTGTGTGGAGGGACACTGTGTTGTGTGGAGGGACACTGTGTTGTGTGGAGGGACACTGTGTTCAGTGCTGGGAGGCTGTGTTGTGTGGCGGGACACTGTGCTTCTGTTTTGTTTTGCTTGCATCTTGTCGTGCGTCCCCACCAAGGCAGATGCGACTCCTCTGTAAAGCCTTCCTTGCTGGGGCACAGATATGTCGCCTCTCAGTGGCATCCTGTGATCTGCGCGCTCAGGAGACTGCACCTCAGTAACAAATAGCACGCTCAGTCACTGAACACCGCCGCGGTATCAGTACACTTGTTCAGGTGAACTGCTACTGAACCTGGGCAAAGCGTAAGGTGAACTCTATCAGAGAGGGACAGTGTGGTGCTCTGGCTGCTTCTGGGAAAGAAACTCGAGGCTGTAATGATTGCTCTGAGCATAGAAATACCTCTAATTCCCATCCCAGTCCAGGCAGAAAGGGTTCGGAGGACGTCACTGTATCCGCATGCAGATCACCCAAGCACACACATCCTTTGTGTGTTTATAATACTGACTCGTTTTGCTTTGACGTGTAGGTCTGGTGTAATCTTGAAGTTTCTGGTAGCGATAGACCTCATTAAACACCTGATACTCCCAGGCGCTTCACGTCGTCAGTCAGAGCGATGGCGATCCAGCAGCCTTCTGGCTCTTACGGAGCTGTCACAAACCAAGGGGGCCCCAAAGGCTCAGAACACACAGTTCCTTCTGCAAATTAACAGTCAAAAAAGGACAGTTTTCTTTCTTTAAAAAAAAAAAAAAACACATTTTAAAGACTCACAAAACCCAGAACTGAATAAGGAAATCAAGTCAGCCCCATTAATTACTTACATAAGAGAGAGAAGGAAGGGGTGACTCACAGCAGGCATCGAGCACAGCTTAAACCCCCCTGAACAGGCCCCCATGTTGCGACCAAAGGCACCCACATTTTACCGTCCGTCATTTCTGTGCCTTATGTGCAGGTGGGGTTATGGAAGACAAAAGGAGGAAAGAGCGTAAGCCGTAATAAGGACGAGCTGCCAGGCATTAAGCTCATTTCCATCAGTCAGAGGGAACGTTGGCCTGGGGCCATCAGTCACGCTGGGAGGGGGCACGGATCCCGGCATGTCCACACCCCACATTCGCACCTGCAGATTGACCCCGGCCCCCCAAGTCAATAGCAGCATCACCTGCTGTAAAAATGAGGAATTTATGTAACTATTTCTTAAAGTGCTGGTATGGTAGTGGGGGCTGAACCCTCCATGCACTGCCGCATCACTGCAAGAGGGGGGCACTGGGGGCTCAGAGACTGAGCCATTGATTGGCCGTACATTGTGACCCCAAGATGCATGGGATGGGGGGCTTTCAGTGGGGGCTGGTTTGGGAAGCGTTCAACACAGATGTTTCTCAGGCATGAGGACCAGCCCCCCTTAACCAGCTCCATAATGAACTCCCCATAACCCCAGTGGGGGGGGGGCCTTTAAAAGGGGAATCGTTCCAATTAGGCCAAGCCAGGTGGGTGGCCCCCTCTCCGTCAGAGAGTCTGCTGTCATATCGTGTTTGGGGAGAGGGAGGGCTGTTTGTGGCAAAAGCCCCCTGGCAATGCCCCCCCTGGTCACACCTAGTGGTAGTGTGAAAGTCTGGGGGGGACTTCAAATTTGGTAATTTAAGGAGAACGTGCTGCATAGTGGCATTCATCCCTGGCTTCCCACTGCCCCCCCCTCACCGGCGACTTAACGAGATAATGTGTTGCTTACTGTCCCCTGATATTCCTCCATGCCTGTAAATCAGCTGGGGCCATTTGCTGGTGTCACAGCGGAGGCCCACAGCAAAGGTGCGCTGGTCATCATACTTTTGCATCTTTTGAATAAATGCGATCATTGTGACTCTTTCTCACTCTCTCTCTCTCTCTTTCCCACCACTAACACACAGAGCCACTGCCCCCATGGCCAGTCACTCTTCATGTTAATTTAAGCCAATGGTGCAAAAGAGTCCCAGAGGAGAAGGTGTTATGGGCTAAAGATAAAAATTAGACAAGCTCATCTAGAATCCCTCCTGTCCCATAAAACCCTGCACCGAGCCTGAAAGATCCCCAGAGAGCATCTGGGGCAAGACAGGGCATCTTTGGAAAGACGGGAAGTCTTTGCAGCATGTGGACTGTAAACCATAACCCCGTTAGAGGTTAAAGGTTATTTTGGGTGCTTGACAGGGAGTGGCCTGGTTCTGTCAGCCAATGGCAGCCTTGCTCTTTGCTCTTGTCAAAGATCTCTCCTCTCCTCGCTGAATGACATCACCCTTCTGACACCATCCGATAAAAATGACAACAGGAGCCTCTCTGGAAGCTTAGAGCTGAATGCTCTCCGTATGTCTGCTATGTGTGTCAGTATCAGAGCTAAAGGGGAGATTGAAAGGGAAGACCTGTATGTCATTCAGAGGATGGTGTCAGAAGGGTGATGTCATTCAGCGGATGGTGTCAGAAGGGTGATGTCATTCAGAGGATGGTGTCAGAAGGGTGATGTCATTCAGAGGATGGTGTCAGAAGGGTGATGTCATTCAGCGGATGGTGTCAGACGGGTGATGTCATTCAGAGGATGGTGTCAGAAGGGTGATGTCATTCAGCGGATGGTGTCAGAAGGGTGATGTCATTTAGCGGATGGTGTCAGAAGGGTGATGTCATTTAGCTCGCCTGGTTAATACATGTTTTTCTTTGCT